AAAAATTCATATAAAGGCATACAATCCACACATATTCACACGCACATATATAATCACATCTTACTAGCACCCTGACATGAATACATTACAATGTACTTGCTTAAAAGAAAGGGATTGCAATTCTTTACAAATTATAAGCAAACCCTTAGCTTACCTCTTTTCCCCGTCCACCATTAGATCCTTTGCCTGGACCTGTAAATATTGTAAATAAAGGCATGAGACAACCACAATCTTAATGACAGAGAAATTAATATTCCTCATTACAAGAAAAGCCATAGTCAAGTAAATAAATAATAGATTCAAATAATATATAATTAACTAAGTAAAATGCCTAAATGCATAAGATAGGCTGATATAGCCTTTCCTGACTAACAGAATGTCCCTTAGCACTCTTTAGCTTGTAACTAAACCTTATACCTACTGTTCCTCCACAGGCACAAAATATGAACCAAGGTATGATCTAATCCACCGAACCGCCTGTACCCCTTTGACGTGCATCCTGAGCAGTCAAAGTTAATTTGCCCCCAAAGCCAACCCGGCTTACTCTCCATATAGGAGCTACCTTGGCCTAGGCACTGAACCTCATACTTCATATGCAAGATTCCCTCCTCCACTAAGAGGTCTAGAACACTCAATCCATTAACCACTTTAATATATTGGGCCCAAAATATGAAAAGTAATACTGAGTACTGACAATGAGTCATAGAATATGACAAGACCACATATCCCTATTAGTGAACTCCCACTAAGATCACGCCTCCTACTCTTTTCTACTTTTCTCAAGTATTGATCAATTCAACATTCTAAAGTAGTATAATACTTATAATTCATCCTTTAAACGGTTCCTTAGCCTATCTAAGGTACCAAATCTAGTTGCACTCCCTAAGTACAACTCCTCTTTTTATGACCACAATGCATACTAATAATCTTATTTTCACAAATAACATCATTATTAAATAGATAGTAAATATAGATGTATTATGATTAAAGTAATACCCTATAAACATGCATTCAAATAATATTATCTACTCAAAGATAGCTAAATAAAGCAATAAGAAATATAAATTCCCTTATTACCTCAACCCTTTTGTACCAAAAGTGTCTTCCTTGTATAAAAATAAGACTTGGTTCATCCTTTAACTTCCAAATAAATTCCATCAATAATCCCTACAATATATAAGTAATCCACATCACTTATCATGGCAAGTAACATCAAAGAAGACTATAATTCATACCACACAACTTGGATCAATGAGCTATAATCCATTCTAATGGTTCATATCTTAAACCAATCATTCACACAGTACTATTTAACCATTAAAACTATTTATTAGCCACCACTAGACCAATTTTCAAACCATACAATTTTTAATCAACCAAAAACCTTCACTTAGTGTTACAAACTTTTATAATTAGCCCTTATAATGAAAACCAAAGCTTAATTTAAATCTTATTGGATTTAAGTAGCATAATTATAAGTAAATCAATAGACTTAAGCCATTAAAGAGAAAAACCCAATCCCCTAGGGTTTAATATTTGCCTTAAAACTCCCCTTTTCATCCAAGTACCCACTCAAAACATTAAAGCACTATATAAAAACTCAAAACAACCTCCCAAGGACCCAAAGAAACTAAAACTTATAAGAACAAAGCTTTTGGAATCAAAATCTAAAAATTTACCTCTTTTAAAAACTCAAAAAAACTAAGAGGAAAGGAAGATGATTTAAGGGAGCTTACCTAATGTGTGCCCGAGCTCACAACCACCACAAAACTTTTCAAATTCGAGCTCTAGCTCCCTCTCTTCCTCTTCTCTTCTCTTCTCTCTCTCTCTCCTCTCACTCTCTCATTTCTTGCTCTCTGCTTCTTGCTTCACTTCTTTCCTTCCTTTTTAATTTCTATTTCTACGTTCATTTTCCCTTAAAAAAAAATTATCTAAACACATGGGAAAAATTACAAGAAAGGGCCCAAATTTTTTTATTATAGCACAAAAGCCCAAGGCAACTTTAGTAATTTTTTTCATAATTAAAAATTAAATAAAACTAAAATTTTTCTTAGTAAAATTCAAATTTTAGATCTCTATCAAATTATTATTAATTTTAATTTAATTATAGATATTTTATTTTAAAATTAAATTTAGGTCTTAAAATTTTCGGGATATTACAGGTGTGATGTTGGAGATTTGTGCTCTTGAGCATTTGTGTGATGCAGTATTGGAGTAACAATATCTCAATTATGTGTGATAGGGGAAAACCATAGTTTGAAATTAGGATAGAACACCTTTTGGTTGGGTCATTCTACCACTAGAGGTGTGCTTAGGGCAATGAATGTGTGATTGACCCAATGGAACCTATGATTTCAATCAAGGTGATATGGAGGTTCTGATGGTAGATGATCATACTAGTAAAAAATGATTTTATGTAAAAATGATTCTAGTGAAAGTAGAACATGTTTATGTGGATATACTTATGTAACTATATAAAAGCTTTATGTATTCACAATTATGCATGTTAATTAATAGTAATGAGTTATTCTATTACTAAGATTATTATCTCACCCTATAGTTATATTTTTTTTTACAGGTTCTAATAGTGAACAGTGCATAGGAAAAGACTAAGGATCATCATAATAGTGCTACTGCCATGCGACTAAAGAGCTTGTATAATAAATTTGTTTTGTTGTAAAAAATTAAAGGAATTAAGCTATAGGATGCACACACACACATATATATATATATATATATGTTTTGATATGATGTGTTATGATTTTAGTTAATCTTAGCCTATTGTGTGAGATAAAGTGGTGAAATGCAATTTGTGCACTAAGATTGTGTGGTATGTGAATGTGTGTATGTAAGAGTGGTAAATGTGCGGAGAATTTGACCAAGAATGTTGTGAAAATGAATTTGTCAAAAATGGGCCCTATTATATGTGATAAGGGATGATATATTGGCTAATTGTGAATATATGTGAGATTTTGATGATGTTACTATTCAATCAGGTGTAATTGATCCTTTTGGACTTAGTTCTAGGTTCAAAATGATCTAATGAGATTAAGTTTGAGATTTGAACACTTTGGGTACAAAAAGTGACTTTTGGCTCCCGAGTGTCTAATTTAAGAATGGACTATTAGATTATGTCTAAATTTATCTCATTAGAAAAGGTATTTTATAAGTTTTGTATGGACACTTAAATCACTTTGATTAGATATCATATGTGAAAATGACTTATTTCAAAAGTTCACATTTGTGAACTATCAGGATAGCAGAATTTGTCATGTGAGTAGCGGCACATGACATAGAGAGAAAAATTGTGACTCTGTATCACATACTGTGGCACACAGTCCCTTTCCTAAAATTGATTGTTTGGCTTTGTTTCATGCTGAGGGCTAAATATGCAGCACATTGACTTTCGTGCATTATATTGTGTATTTGAACGATTTTAAATGGTTTTTAGAAGAGATTTGGATCCCATACATTTTTAGATATTTATTTACCTTATTATGTAATTATTGGTGATGATTTAAAAGAGCTTTGAGAGACATTTGATATTGATTGTGTGTGATAACTGTGACAAATTGGGTGATGTCAGGTGGACATTATCAGAGGGTTACAGTAGATACTTGAAAGGAGGACATTTTAAGTGTACACCAGGTTCATCTTGCACCAGCTTTGTCTCGTCACTTTGCCTTTTGGTACCATCATGCGGAAACATCTGATTTGCTTCCTTACAAGTGAATGTCGTTTCAACAGTAACAATGGTTGTTATATGGCTCTCACATGAGTAATGATTATTAGTATTAATTCCAGTGTTGAACTCAGCATTATTATGTCCATCAGACGGTCTTTAATTTGCATCATTTCCTTTCGCCGAAATACAACCAAACGTCCTCATAATTGAAACAAGTCAATGGTTATAGTCAAAAATTGGTCATCACAATTTTTAATTTTGCATCTTTTTTCTTCTTCTTGAAAGTATATGGAGTACGTTTCACCAACAATAGAGAATATCTTTTCTAAGGTACTGAGAGGAATGGGTTGACCTCTCCCAACTAATTGCTACATACATAAGGGTTGAAATTCAAACTTTTAACTATTTGTTTAAACAACGAGAGCATCTTATTTTTAAATTGTTTATTTGCGAAGGACCGCTCAAACTGTATCCCTTCACCGTAATGCTAGGCATGAGAATGTTCACACCCCATCTCACAGGTTTAAATTAATTGACTTAATATCATGCTATTCATGATACAGTCTCAACAATAATAGATACCATGAAGATTGTAGAAGAAAGAGAAACCCAAATCCATGTCAGAAGGTTTAGCCCAAAAAAAAAAAACAAATCAACATCAGACGCGGGAATTCAGAAATACAAGGTGCAATATATTCATATACATGCATACATACATGTGTGTGTGTGTGTGTGTGTGTGTAGACAGGGCCTGTGTGAAGATATTTTGGGTCCAGGGTAAAATTATTCAAGGGGGTTAAGGTATTGTCATTTATCTATGTATCCTAAAATCACTTTTCTAGCTTTTTAATTAAGTTGCAAAATCATATATTTAAATTTTGTAATCAAATAATTCTATCATTTCACTCTTAATAAATAATAAAAATATTTAATTTAATTTATTTTGTAACATGATTGATCTTAAATTAAATTTAAACAATTTTAATTTTGAAAAATTTCTTTCAATAATATTAATTATTAGTGGTATTATCAATAATAATAATACACACTCTAAGCAATATATGTATTTGATAATATTTTAATATAATATATGCATGTTATTACCATTCTAATCAAAGAATGATTAATTGTTATTCAGAATTAATGACACTAATAGGTGCAATGACATATGGGGCATACAATAAATTTTTAATGAGAATAGATGTAATTAACATTTATTGACTGGTTATATATGATATGAGCAAGAAATAAATTATTAATGAAAAAATTTAATTAATATCAATACTTGATAGAAAAAATAATGATCAGTCATATAAAGTATAAGTGAAATTTTTTTTAGGCCTACGGCTATGGCCTTGAAGTATACACAGCCCTGTTCCTGCTTGAAAATTGTTCCTAAATGCTAAATGTAAAAGTATAATACAAATATATGTTAATATATATGCATGATGGGGATGAGGGAATATTATTCAAGGAAATTGGAAATTCCCTCCAGTGTTGTTGCTGCTAGCAGGTGGTGAAACAGCAAGCCATAAAAGTGAAAGTGTAATGGCAATAAGACCTGACCATACATACACAATGGTTGGTGTCTTCCTTCTCCTTCCCATTAAACCTTTTGCAAAAGGGTAGAGATGAACCAAAACCCACAAGCTAAAGAAAGCTCCTCCAATGAACTTATTCCACTGAGGGATGGCTGCAAAAATAGTCCTCATGAAGGCAACCACAATGGCAAGAATATTGACCATGCCAATGATAATTGGAGGAAGCATCAATGAAGTCCACTTCACCAAATACAATTCTGCATAAATGTCATCATTATCTTCAGTGGCTGCTTTTGAAGTCAAAGTGAAAGATATCTCAATCCCTGCAATCACCTTAAGAAGGCCTTGTACTACCGCAGCCAAATGAGCACTAGTTCCAGCTATAACCCAAAACTGTTCATTTCTCCACCACTCTTCTAATCCAACATTAGCCCATCTCACCTCGAGAATCGCGAGCATGATAAGACAAAGAGTAATGGCAAGAAGGTAGACCAAGAAAGCGACACTGAGATTCTTCACAATGAAGAATCCTGATAAGAGTGAGAGTGCTGGAAGGAAGCAGTAAACTAGAAGGAAGATGGATGTGAATGGGTAGATTCCTACGTTGAGGTATCCTAGACGTTGTAAAAACTTGAGCTTTTTACCAGCGAGGAAGGCGTTGTTTTTAGAGAAGAAAATCTCAACAGAACCTGTGGCCCAGCGTAGCACTTGGTGTAACCGGTCTGTCAGGTTGATCGGAGCCGTGCCGCGAAATGCGTCTCGTTTAGTTATGCAATACACCGACCGCCATCCACGGTTGTGCATCCGATAGCCAGTCACTACGTCTTCAGTCACGGAGCCATAGATCCATCCCACTCTGTCTCCCCATTCTGTCTTGTCCTCGTACCTATACATTATGCACACGCATGTATAGTCTCTTGATCATTTTATGTTATTTAATTAACATTTTTTTATAATGGCCTTTATAATTACCTGCCTTTTCTACTTTTTTTTTTTTAGATCATTAGCTTCTATATAAGAGATATTTTGACATTTTTAAATTTTTCTATTTCAAGACTTCAATATATTAAAATGTCTCTTATTTTATATAAAAGTCAATGATTTAAAAGAAAAAAAAACGCAAACTTGAAAGGTGCAAAACATTGCAAAGGATATTAGTTAACAAATTTTTATTAGAGACCTCTATAGTCCAATGAATATCAAATATTAAAAAAAAAAATGAAAGAAATGAGTTATGCCAAGACATTGTCCCAAGGGCCTATAACATGTTTTTCTGCTTTTTATAATGCCACGCCTTTTCAACTTCACCTTTTATCTTTGGATTATTAGCTTTTATATAAAATAAGAGGCATTTTAACATATTAAAATTAGGGTTTTGCGTTTTTTATTAATTTTTTACAGAAAAATATTGAAATTACACACTTTTCTATTTGAAAAATCATAAAAATTACAAAACTTTTTCAATCTAGGACTTCAAGATATCAATATATATATATATATATATCTTATTTTATATAGAATTCTATATAATTTAAAGAAAGAAGTAGCACAAAGTTGAGAAGGCGTGGGGTATTGCAAAGGACGTTAAATAAAAGCATATTAGAAACCCCTATAGTTCAATGAATATCAAATATTAAAAAAAATGAAAGAAATGAGTTATGCCCAAACATTGGGATGGGTGCTTTTAATGTGCTTTTTATCTAATGCTCTTTGTAATACCACACCTTATCAACTGTGTTTTTTTTTCTTTTTAAATTATTAGCTTTTATATAAAAATAAGAGACATGATAATATCTGGAAATTTTGAAATGGTAGAGTTTTATATCTCTTTTACGATTTTCAAAGATAAAATTGTATGATTTTTATATTTTTCTTTAGAAAATTATTAAAAAATAAAAAATTATACTGTTTTGAGATTTTAAAATATCAAAATGTCTTTTGTTTTGTATAGAAATCAGTGTTTAAAGAAAAAAAGAAAAAACAAAATTGGGTGTTCTGTGGCAGTAAAGAAAGGCACAATAGTGACACAGTCCACGTAGAGACTAGCAAAAATACATACCAGCAAGAGATTACTGAGACAGCTTCGGCAACAGTAAGGGCATCAAGTGGCTCACGAGGAGCCCTAAGAGCACCAGGAGGGCGGCCATACTTGACCGCCGGATGATCTGCAAGAGGGCGGCCTTGGTACTCAGCGACCGCGATGCTTTCGGCGAGCATGGTTGAATTGCCAAAACGCTTTGGTAAGTTATTAACATTCAAGTTCGGATCAAAGTCAGTGGGATTCAAAGGTTGCATTTCAGCAGCGTTATTATAATTACTAGTATTTGAGTTCTGAGATTTACTATTAATCTTCTCAACCATTGGTGGATCAAAACCGTACAGTGCAAAACGCCTGAACATGCAACCAGTTCCGACATAAAATGGACCTTGAACACCATCAAGAGCTCGCATGTTGCCATCAAAGAACACCGTATTGTGATTAGCATAGCGGTCAGATGGATCAATTCCTTCAAATCTTTGTGGGAATTGAATATAACAAATATCCTCACCACCTCTATCCATCATGAAACACATTCCTTCTCGTATGGCTTTGCAATTGTTGAAGTAATGATCACAGTCCAAGTTAAGAATAAATGGTCCGTTTGATAGAATTGCTGATGATCGAACCAAGGCATTCATGGCTCCAGCTTTTTTGTTGTGATCATAACCTGGTCGCTTCTCTCTTGACATGTACACAAACATTGGTAACCTTGTTTCCACTTCTGAGAAATCTATAATCTTGTCGTCTCTACTTCCCATCAATGGATCAGGACTTGGTGGTTTCAACATCACCTGTAGGTCTAAGCATATTAATTTCTTACACATTTAGTTACAAGTTATTATATATTAAAATTAGGGATAACTTAAATATTGGTCCTTATAGTTTTACTGTATTTTTGTTTAAGTTCCTATAGTATTTTTCTCGCTACTCTAGATCCCTCTAGTTTATTTAGTATATAATGTTAGTTCCTTTATTTTTTTTAGTATGATCAAAAAGACAGTGAGATGACACTAACGATATGATAAATGTATTGACCTATGACTAACACCATTAATATATGCTAAAATGGAGTTATAATTAAGCATATTAACCACGTTGTCCATTTCATGCTTCATGTTTCAATCTAACGAATCATAATTCCATTTCAGCACAAAGTTTAACATCCTTATCATATCATAGGACAACATATTTAACATTGTTAGGATCACCTCATCGTTCTTTTGTGTGTATTAAAAAATAGTGACTAATGTTATAAATAGGACAACCTGCAAGTCTAAGCATGTTAATTCCTTACACATTTAGTTATAAGTTATACTCCCTCTGTTTCAAATTATAGGGCACTTTTGAGAGAATTTTTCCATTCAAAATATAAAAAACTCTGAGTGGATTAAGATTTCATTAAATGCATCAATTTCAATATCACCTTTTCTCTTGTTATAATTAATTTTTATCTCTTCTCTTTTCAATATATTTAAATGATGAGTATTTTTAAAAGTTTATATTTTTTATTTTAAAAAGATAAGGTTGTTAAGTTTAAATAATGAGGTTTATTGGTATGTGAGATTTTATCTAAAAGTATCTTACAATTTGGGACGAAGGGAGTATAATAAAATAAGGGTAAAATAGCAAATTGTCTCTAAACTATAAGTTTAGGAATATCAGGACCCTAAATTCATTTTTGGTATAGTGTTCTCCTTCAATGTTTCAAGAAAATATAATCTGACCTTTGCCGTTAACAATTTGATATTTAGTTAATTAGAAAATGATAAAAAAGGACATAAAAAATTACAAAAAAAAAAGGACTAATAAAATTTTATTGGCCTTTTTTTTTGTAATTTTTTGGGGTCAATGTTTGTATTTTTTGGAGCCTTTGCTATAATTTTTTTGTCCTTTTATGAAATTTTTGAGATATTTTTCTATGATTTTTCAGTCAACTAATGGTGAAAGTTAACTATTGTTAATGATAGGGGTCAGATTTACACCATTATTAAAAGTTAAAAAGAAATATTGTACTAAAAAAATTTAGAGTGCTAGAAGCTCCTGAACCCATAATTTAGGAATCAATTTGATTTAACCCTCACAATAATTATAACCATATACCTAAAGAATTGATAATCACGATAAACTAATGAAACTAAATCTATAAAAATTAAATTTAAGAGATCAAATATCTATGAGTGAAACAACCATATACCTGTAGAATCCCTGTGTGGTCACCTTTGGCGTGTTGACTTGAAGGAGCAGCCCAAGTTCCGGGCCAATGGGTCCCATCAGCCATCCATGTAGCCTTCACAACTTTCACAGGTTCTGAAGGGTCAGCCCCAGTTTCCTTCATGTGCTTAATCATCTTCATTTCTTCTCTGGCATTGAAAGCATCAGATCTTCTTCTGATAGAATCTGAGAGACCATTTATGCGAACCTTGAATTCATCATACTCTCTCTTAACCCTCCTCCTATCCTTGACAAAATCTAATCTACTTTTGTTCTTGGTTGGATCAATTTTCAAGCTAAAGTATGTCTCTGGATTTCGCGGCTCGATATCGTGCTTTCGACAAAAAGGAACCCATAAATCTGCAAAACTTGCAGCTTCAGCCATGGCTTCAAAGGTAAGCAAAGCACCTCCATCATCAGAAATATAACAGCAAAGTTTCTCCACGGGGTAATCAACTGCTAGAATGGAAAGGATTGTATTGGCAGTGACTAAAACTGGTTCTTTCTCAGGATCGGCAGTGGACACGTAAACGTCACAGCCGGGAAGATCCGAACGTCCGGTGGGATTCGACGGCGACGGCGTGTCGAATTTGTCATGAAGAGCTTGAAGGTCAGTGGATCGATTACATGGCATGAGCTTTGGGATTTGGTCAAGCAACCATGAGAAGGCAAACCATATCTCACAAATTACAGACATTAGCCACAACCATATTGCATCTTCATTTGGATGCATTATTCTCCAATGCAAAAAGAAGCCCAATACAACAAACCGAATCGCAATGATCAACCTGAATCATCAATCATTACCAAGTAAATTTGCAAAATTTATATCCATTTATCTTAAATATTTTGATCATGTAATAACCAAATGGAGTGGTTTTTAACTAGCTTCTCTATAAATTCCAGTTATCAATTTGATCTCACAATATGTAACTAATAAATAATAATAATTTCAACATCCCCACATGCATATTTCTCATTCATGACATTCGAATTCGAGATTTTGTTTGAAAGTTATTGAATTTTATTCAATTACGTACGACTGTTTAATTGCCAGAAAAGATAGAAATATAATGAAATAACAAAATAAGAATAAAAAATGAATTAAATCACTTTTTTACTTATGATAAATATAATAAAGCCTAATACCACGTATTGCAAATATGGGAAATCACAACTTCAACAAATCTCATAAATCATAATTTATAATTTCAAATTAAATTACACTTTTTTCATATGAATTATGATTGACTAATCTCTTCTCTAAATGGGACACATCAAGAAATTGACACATGCAGGGCCATAAGTGAAACATTACAAGAAAGCGAGGGGGTAATTTTTGTTTTTTAAAGGAAAGTTTGTACTACAGGGGCGTGCACACCTGCATGCCCTCTTGTATTTACATTTTGATCAATCTATTTTAATTTTAATTTTTTTAATATACTCTATTTTACTCCTTTCCAAGAAAATTTCTCAATACAAGATTAAAATCCATTCCATCTCAAAAGATGATAAAATTAATTAGAATTGAATAATTAAGCACCTGTAAGGACTGATGATGGAATTTGCAATGGGCGTTTTCCGACTTAGGGGTTTCCAAGGCTTTTCTGCTAAATCCATGAGTCCGCCACCGTGACCGTCACCGTCGTCGGCGTACATGTCATCTTGTGGCCAATAAGCATTGCCAACGCCGTACGTTCCCTTGGTCTCGAACAACCACCTGTTGTGGTCGAATTCTCCATTGTGATTCCTTTTCATTACTGACATACTATTCGGATCCCTTTCTGACCCGTTTGGTGCTGGCAAAGATTGTAATGCTCCACTTGAATAATTTGGCGAGTCATCTTCGTATTCCCCTATTTTGTATGGCTCTCTACACCCAGGGCATAGTCCTGTCTCTTTTTGGGCATCTAGAAAGCAGTCCCTGCAAATCTTGAATCTAAATGCGCCATGCATTGATATATTCATTATTAGTTCAGGCAATTCATATCAAAATTAATAATTTTTAATTTCAAGTAAATTAGTGCTTTTATCTTGAAATATAAAATCCTTCGAAATTCGATCATCCAAAATGTTAATCCCTCAATCAATTTTGTTCATCAACATTTTCATTGGAGGCACACTCCAATTTGCCACTATACCCATTAAAATTATATAACGGAATTGAAAAATAAATAAAATAAGCAGTTTTATGGATATGAAACGCCTTTTATGCTCTTAGTTTAAAACAAGAACAATAATAGTAAAAATAATAACTAAATAATAATATATTATTAAATATTAAATATCTCCATTGTGTGCAATAGAAATGAGATCTCTATTTGTTTGAATAAAAAAAATGTTACAAAAGACTAGATTATGAGACTTACAATTTGCAGTATCAAATAAAAAAAAACTAATTTTTTACTAAATTATTTTTACTCTAAAAGATACGATTAACTTTTGAATTCATTCCTCTAGAATGTAGATGCTTTTCAACTCTGGATAGTTTTTCGTTTAATTTCTTTTGGCACAGAAAAATTTTAGAAGTTAAAAATTACTCAAGAACTATATTAAATAAGTGCCTATACTTTCTCTTGTTTGTCTCTGTATCAGACAGATGTTTGTAATATATATCTGTAGTGTCTATAATTTAAATCACTCGATGAAGAATTTTTTTAAGAGATTAGAAACTATAATTTACTCAAATTTTAAGTTGTTTTTATCTATATATACATACCTGCACTCACATGGAATCACGTCATTCCCTCTCTCATCCTTCATGATTTTGCCATCACAAGAAGGAACGGCGCAAGCAGACCCTTTAGCTCCAGCCATTTGAGGATGACTAACTTCAGAATCAATGACTTTGTCCATCAAATGAGCTCGCGTCACGCTGTTGAATCCGCCTGTAAATAAAGAATTCGAAACGTATTGTTCTTCGGCTTTCATGGCCACTGATGTGTCCATCGGTTGATTATCCGGCGTCGGCGGAATATGGACTGTGTAGTTCATGTAATCGCCGGACGACGAGTCGGCCGACATGTCGATGTCTTCCTTCGATAAATTCACATATCTTCCACTCGATGTTCGTCTCGCAAACTTGACAGTTTGGCCAGTCGAGCTTCGTGACGATCCTTGATTTGACGATCCTCCTGAATTACGTAAAGCAGTCTTCTTTGGAGGTTGATTATTATTCGTCGACGCCATACCTTTAATTTCTTCTCTGATGTGTTATCAGTGAAATTAATGTTGCCAGTTTATCGATCGAAATGCTGATAATCATTTACGTGAAATAATCATGTACAACACAAGCAGGCAAATTGGGAAAACGATAATTTGCTGAAACAATATTGAAGAATAGAAAAACCAAAGTGAGTGACTATGATGAAGTTAAGGATCTAACAATGGTGGGAAAACCCAAGCCAGTGCTATTTTTAGAGTCCCCATTCTCGGGTTTTTAGGCGTGTGTTTGTGGAGGAATTATGTATGCTTAAGAATATCGGTTTTTCATTTTATTATCCACTTACTTCAATGTATCAGACGTGTATACACCCGAATTATAAGGTGCTACTCTTGTATGATGCTACAAAAATTTGTAAGTATAAATTTTCGTTGGATTTGGGAGTAGTTCTCTTATTGACTGCAGATCATAAGCTAATTAAATTTGGTTTGTAAATGTAAAATTTGTGGTAATAATTTTACGCTAAACTCGATTATAAAGTATAATGGCATTGAGGATCCTTAGAAGCTAGATGACAGCATGTTGGACCCGTAGAATTTGTGATTGTGTGTCGGATTAATAGGAATTTAGATTTGATCCAAATCTCTCATTTTGAATACATAAAAATTTATGGGTTTGGATTTGATTCAAATTCAAATCCATTTTCAATTATAATCCTTTTGTACTCTTAAATTCCTTCTGTACCTTAATTTTTTAAAATTTCAATCACTTCAAATATCATGTTCTTTTTATTTTTTTACTGTTGATACAATTTAGTATATTTTCTCATCTATTTTTTATTAAAAAAATAGAAACAAACTGGTTATTTTTATTTTTTTATTTTTTTATTTCAAATATCAATTAATCTCTCTTCTAAATTTTTTAACTGCCCAAATAAATAATTTTAAATATATAAATTTTAAATATGATATATTTGAAATACAAGATTTTAAATCTAAAACTCAAATTCAAATCTATCAATCCCAAAGCTATCGAAGTGAAATTATGTTTATGAGGTAATTACCTTTATAAAAAGTTACAAATACCGTTGATTTTAAAAGGCAAACATATCATAAGAAAGGCTTCAAAATAATGTGTGTCATAAGCTTGATTAATAACTAGATTTCGTGATGTGAAAATTTTAAGATTGTGTTTGTAGATTTTCAAAGTATAATTGCCAAGTTAAAAAATATTGATTGGAACGGTGGAAGTCTCTCCCCAAGGATAATTAAATTTTATGTCGTAAAACTATGAATATTGATGCCTTGTGTTAGTGTTGGATGTACATTCATAGTGTTTATAATTTCTTTACATAGAAATGAAAATGGATTAAATTTACAAAGATAATTGCCTCATATACTTTATAAATGCACATCTTATGATTTTTAAATCAAGAGTATTTTCAGTTTTTTTATCTCAATATAATTTCTCATTGAGAAATTTCAGAATTCTATGGAGCCAAGATAGAATACAAAATCCCCCCAGTGTTATTCTCCCTAAATTAAAAGTACTAACGTTGACTATCAATACTGGCCATATATAATTGGGAGAATTACAACTATATTCCACACAAAGAAATTAATTGTTACAAAATTTATTAACAACTAAACTAAACATCATTGACAATTGATCATGTTGTCAATGACATTTAGTTTAATTATCAATAAACTTTATAGTAATTAAATATCTTGCATGAAACTTTAATATAATTCTCCCTCTATAATTCTAGTGTAAAAAAGGGGCAAGCAAGGTGTCAAGGATCAAGAGTCAAGAGTCAAGAGTCAAATTCTTTTGACATAATGAAAGACGGACCGTGTATTAAATCCATCTCGTCTTTATTAGAAGATATTTTTGACCATTGCACTAGAATCAAATATGGTTAAGTTATTAATTTTGTAGACAAATATAATAAACTTTCAATTTTACCCATATTTAATGAAACATTTTAAAATTTGTATTACATTATATTTTCTGTCACAGTCAATGACTTTAAATAAGGATAATATTGAAAAAGTGTAATTAATACCACACTAAGTGCCTTATAACAAGGAAAATATTAGTTGAAGACCTTTGGAGATATTTTATATTAGTTGAGAACCTTAAAATTCTAATATTGCACTACACCCTCATAATACTTATTTGACATACAAGTTTTTACAAGAACGAATTACCCCATGTAATGAAAAGGTCAAATGGGTTATTGTTAATTATAATTACGTTATTGTTAAAATCTGAATAGATATTTTTTTAACTAGTACTAACACTTGCCTAACTCAACATGTCTTATCAATTTTCTCACTTGTTCATTTCTAAATGGGTAGTTATCAAAACTCAAATAGATACTTGTTTATGCATGATTAACACTTGTCAAATTCAATATATTTTTTATCACACTATTATAAAAATGTAAATATAAGACGTCATGAAAAATGACGGTTAAATAAAAATACGTCATGTATGAGATAGGTGAGTGACGGTAAGAAAATAAATGACGGGTGTTAAAACAACCTTCGTATATTGTTAGATTTAAATGACGGGTATTAAATAAACTTGTCATTTATTTCAGCCCAACGTTTCATTTACTGGAAGGAAAAAAATAAAAAATAAATTTCAACTTTAAATGACGGGTATTTCAACTACCTGTCATATAAAGTTTAAACACTATATGACAATTATACAAAAAACCATCATATATCGGTGCCTGGCATTTTAGATTCTTTGACGGGTGTTTTAAACACCCGTCATTTAAAGTCTAGAACAATATATGACGTGTTTTTTAAACATCCATCATATATTAGGGGGAAAAGTTTCATTTTCTTGAATTAAAAAAATAAAAAATTTTAAGCTTTAAATGATGATGTGACAGTTGTTTCAAACAACCGTCATTTAAAGCCTCAGTTATATATGAAACACCCATCGTATATTCTTGAATAAATGAAGGGTATTATAATACCCATCATTTATTCTCATTTTTATTCAGTTTTCAGACTTACTTTTTCATTTGTTTTCTCTCTTCTCCACTTCTACATGAAATTGATAGAAATCTCTCAATCTACCCCCATTGTTGCCGTCGACCACCTTAGTCCCTCTCTAATGTGAAAATGCTCCTCCTATGCCATCCGTTGCCTCTCTCATTTGCTTCCTCTTTGAGTTTCATCCTCTCTTCTTCAAGTTATATGGGTTTATGATTTCTATAATTTTTCTTCATTTTCTTCTAATATGCTTAGATTTCTAGATTATGGAATTGATTTATTTCATATTATGGATTGTTTTATTAGTTGATTTTTTTTGTTTAAATTTCTCCTCATTTGTTGCCCATTTTAATATTGTGGGGTGTTGAAAATTGCTAATGTTTGATGCTTTATTAACTTGAAAATGATTGTAGATAATATGCTTAGACTTAGGATGATTATTAAGATGAAAATTAGCAATCAAAATGGGATATTTATGATGACTATATTTTTCTATAAATTTTGATTGATTTATTTCAATAATTTTTAATTTAAATTTTATGCATTGTTTGATCAAAGTAGTTTTATTGTTCAAAACTACATATTGAAATGTACTAGTGTATCAATTTTTATTGCAATTGGAGTTTATTTTAGTGACGAAAATTGACGTGTGGATTTTGTAAAAATCATTACTATTTTATTAATATTTTTACATTTGGTAAAGAATGGTTTGGTCTTGGCTTGAGATTGCTAATATAGGATATATGTAACCTTAGAATGATCAATGAGACAGAAAACATTAATTCAAAATGATGTTTATAGTGTTTTTCTTCTTTCTATGATTTTTGAGCGAATTTTATATATAATTTTATAATAATTAGAGTTAATTTGAAAATGCTATTTTATGAAAATTTCGTTGGTTTTGTAATTGTATATGGTTGAAATTAGTTTGTTCAATGAGATGCCAAGATTGAAAAGAGGGTTAGCCTGAGAAATACTTTCTTTATGCGTTATGCTGATGAATTTTTATCGATGGTTGAAGGAGTATGTGAATACTCATGCATTGTGACTCATGATTCATTAATTACTCTATATTATATGTAGAGTAGTCAATTTCTTTATTGATAATCTTTCAATCATTCCTTTCCTCTCCATATTCATGAGTCACTAATTAATAGATATTGCAATACTATGATAATTCTTATGTTGAAGAATTCAAGGACGCAAAAATAAATGAGGTCATTAAAGAATAGTGTCAATACATTTTTTAAGTATGGACCTCATACAAAGAAGATTAATAGAACTATCTTGAAAAAGTAGCTAGGAAGTTTTTTTTTTAGTAGGTAGTTTATTTTTAGAAATAGATTACTTTATGTAATTACATTTGTTTATTGATTAGTTTTGAAATTGAATACAATAAATTTTGTCGATATTTAAATCTAAAATGGTTGGTTGCTGCTGTTTTAATTTGTTTTTGCAGGGTGCTAGTATAAAAACAGCTCACGTATAAAAAAAACCACATAAAAAATGACAGTTATATAAATAACTGTCATTTATATTGAAGTAAATGACGGGTAAGTAATATACCCGTCATTTATATTGAAACAAGTGATAGGTAAGTATTTACCTGTCATTTAAAGTATGGTCTGAATTATTACCATATTTTAAATGACGAGTAAATAAGATACCTGTCATTTAGAGGTAGTATAAATGATGGGTAAGACTTTAAATGATAGGTAAGTAATTTACCCGTCATTTATACTTACTTTAAATGATGGGTAACTTATTTACCTGTCATTTATATTCTCATTTTGCTTTTCTTTTTGTAAAAATTTTATTTTAAATGATAGTTTTATAACTATCATTTATTGGTGGTCTTTAAATATTAGCCGAATCAATGATGTGTATTAACCATCATTTATGGACTAAAATAACCGTCATGTATTCCTTTTTTTGTAGTAGTGTCAGTTTTTCTAACTTGTTCATTTCTAAACGGGTTGTTGTTATTTACGAATATAATGAATTGTTGTTAAAACCAAAATGAGTTCTTATATATTTTAAACTTTAGGAGTAATTAGGT